GAAGGAAGGAAGGAAGGAAGGAAGGAAGGAAGGAAGGAAGGAAAGGAGAAAGAAAGAAAGAATTAGTATGAAACAAGACCGGGCTTTTGCGAAAAGGGATCAAATGGTCGTTCATAACAACACATCTTTGCTCCTGTTCCTGAGGGAGGGGGAAGGAAGGAAGGAAGGAAGGAAGGAAAGGAGAAAGAAAGAAAGAATTAGTATGAAAAAAGATGGCTTTTGCGAAAAGGGAACAACACTTCTTTGCTCCTGTCATTTTCTCGATTGCTTTTTCTTTATCTCTGCCCTGGCCCAAGCTCATTCGCACACCCCTAATCTGTAAAATATATTTAGACTTTTGCGACATTCTATCTGTTTGAACAGGAGATCAAGTTACGTGTTCGCGATCCAATGACTCACATTCAGAATGGAAAGGCTGTCTTTACTGACTACAGAATCGAAATCAAGGTACAAAGTAAATTGATCGTTTCTCATTTAAATCTCATTAGCTGAACAAATATTGCGGACATACTGGAACCATTTGACCCTGACTTCAAAACACTCGTGTGCTAAGTCAGGGCTACACACATAAAGAGATGTGGAACCTTATCTAAAGATGTGCAACCTTTCCCATTCATCCAAAAAGACTTTCAAATTATATCGAACCCAGAAGAACGAATCTCTGGATATATCAAAGTCAGGGCATGACTAAAATAGTAATAGTGCACAATCCTTTGTCTTCTATTCTAGGATTCATTAATACATATCATTTTTCGCATTTTTATTGTATACGACTTTTCTATTTTCTTCCAATTAGGCTGTCGGTTCTTCCTTGGCTCTAAGTTACTCAAGCGTGCGCAGAAGATACAATGAGTTCGTGTGGCTCCACAACCAACTCCGATCAAAGTTCACAGAGACTAAGTATGACATTGTTTGCTGATGATTCTACTGAGATGTCTCATTTAGCATGATCAGTGTTGTTAATGAGTGCTTAGATTTAACGCCTACCGGAGAGAGGACGTCATATTATTTTCATGTGTGTTACCGTTACAAAGCGGATTATCCTGAATCAATACGAGAATTAAGCTCAGTATTTGATAAGAAAACACGCCGCACTCTGTAATTACAGGCGGTGCAGTCGTCAGTTTGATTATGGCAGGGGGTCCATAAGTGCTTGCTTCAAACCACCACACAAACCCCCCCCCCCCCCCCCAAAAAAAGCTGCGCATGCGCATTTGTTGGTTAAATGCGTCCACTAAGTGACCCTACCCCTCAGTCCCGCCTAAGGGGCTGAGAGATCCTTAAAGATGGTACATGATGCAACAGAGATACTTATACTGCAAGAAAAGATATCAATTTTTACAGGATTGGCCATGATATATTAAAGCCTTGCTGGATTTGTGTTATATAAATCACGAGAACAAATGTAATTGATTCTTGTATTTTTGGTGGATTCAGGAATATGCCATGTTTACCAAGTAAAAAGCTGTTCGGGAGATTTGCTGTGGACTTTATTGAGAGTCGACAGAGAGCATTAGAAGATTACTTACAACGGTAAATAGATGGAACGAGAAAGAAGGAAAGAAAGACAGAAAGGAATGAAGAAGGAAATAGAGGAAGAGAGTAATGGAAGAAATAAATAAGAAAGAAACAAAGACAAAAAGACAAAAAGAAAGAAAGAAAGAAAAAAGAAAAGAAAAGAAAAGAAAAAAAGAAAAAGAAAAGATAGGGGAAAAAACTAAAAAAAAAAAGCACTAAAAAAGGAAGACAAAATAAAAATAAAAGGATGGAAAATACAAAGATATTCATTTAAATTTCTTTCACCAACAGGTTGCTTAATGACGAAGTGTTACTTGGCAACGCACATCTACACTTATTTCTTCAAACCAACTTCACTCCAAGCGAAATCGAATCAACACTCAGTCGTAAAGACCACGAAGATGTCAATCATATCATACTCTTAGCAACAGCCAATCAGCATAACGAACACGTTCAAGGCAGCCGACGTCATCGATCGATTTCTGACAGCGCGCTAGAAACTTCTTACAGTAGCCTGGACATTAGTGACGTCACACCAGGAACATCCGAGGTTTTCTCATCCGGGTATTACGGAGATGACGAAGTTCCAGCTAACGACCAATCAGGAAGCACGACAGAGTGTCTAGTTGCGCAAAGAATGATGGATACCGAACCGCTTTCCTCGAGTTCTTCGGAGTATGATTTAAGTATGGAGGAGTTCTTCGAATTTGACGATAAGAACGACAAAACAAAGTCCAAAAGAAAAAGCCATCGAGCTTCAAAACAAAAGTCTTCAGCTGCTCATAACACGCAAGGATTGTTTGAATATCTCATGCCTATATCGGGATGCGAATTAGAGTCCTATATAGTGTTTGGCAGCAAGCAAAGAGAAGAAGTGAGACCTAAGAGAGAGACTAATGACGAGCGAATAAAAAGATTAGTTAATGAGTACGAAGTTGTGTCGATTTTATAAGAATTTTTCTGAACAAGATTCCTTATAAAATGTATATTAATTCACCTACAAAAACATGAAACATTTTATAAACATTCCACCAGTTGCATCTCGAGATACATCTTATTAACGTACTTCTCACGTACCATTTCGGTTTCAGCTTCTATGTCTTCGGTTTTTGAACCCAAATATATTTTTTCGATAGTGTATAATATTGACATTGGTATATAAAGGTGATATGGACCCGTGGGGTATATTTCCCGCAGTTATACACCTCTCGCGCATTTATTTTGTAATAATAAAGACACACAATTTATTATTATTAATTATTTTGAAATATAGCAAATAAGATTTTAAAATAAAGAGCTTAACCAGAGCACGAACGAAACTTTTTCAAGTTTCAGGATATATACTTTATAGAAATGAAATTGTACAGCATAGCATATGAACTGAATAAAATAGCGTATTATGCTCAATGCTATATGATAAATTTGTTATCAATCATGACGATGATGATGATGATAGTGATGATGTTGATGATGATGATGACAATGATGATGATTATGATGAAAATGATGATGATTATGACAATTATGATAATGATGATGACGATGATCACAATGATGATGATTATGATGATGCTAATGGTGATGACAATGATGATGATGTTGAGGATGATAGCGGTGGTGGTGGTAGTGATAATGGTGATGTAGGCTGCGTCAACGAGCAGTGGCTAATACATTGTGATAATGATACAGTTGATGGTGGTGATATAACGTGGTCAGTAAGTAGAGTTGCTACTACAGCTGTACTACTTGTTGTTCACTGTACTACTTGTTGTCGTGCCTGTTGCCTTTTGTTGTCTTAATTTCTTAATCATAGAATACTCCCTTATTGTCTATGCGGCATTCAAGAAAAAAACAGCCAAACCTGGACGATTAACAGGTTTCTAGACTACCTCCGTCACTTAATTCCATGAATACGATTGGCCAACCACTCTATTCGAGACCAAATTGAGGTTATTATCATTCAAGTCTATTTTCTTTGATCTTTTTCACACTTCATCGGTACCCATTAGTAATCCGCGTCGAGTCAGTCTTGTTAACAGCAGAGGAGTGTACGATGTTCAGGGTACTAGTTCTTGTACTAGTCAGTTTGTGGAGCCTAGAGACGGATAGTTTGAACATTTTGTTTAGACAAAAAGAAGTCATAAAACAGATACAGAAATACGGAGGTAACAAAGTAACCAAAATGTTTCCGATTAGCAATTGAAACAAGGTGTCTTTACCTTTAAAATTTTAACATACGAATTGTAGCTATTTCTTTTTCGCCCTCATGTGGGAAAAAAGGATTTAAGGTTAAATACATATATTTGCCAACGCACGTAAAATCTTTTTCCTCATTGAACGCAACATTATTGAACACAGTTCATCATCCTGATCAAG